TCCTTTTTGAATTTTTTTTTTTTTTCACTTGATTAGAAAGAAAACATCCGTTGTGGGAGCCAAGTGGGGCTGCAGCACAAGTTCTATTCACTAGTACTTTAATCCCTGCTTTCCTTTCACCACATAACCTCCTGCTCTGTTCTCTGGAAATGTTTGTATTTGTACACGAGCACAGCCGGCTGCAGAATTGCTTAATGAGCAAACTTGTTAGATTGGTTTCATTTAGCTCTGGATAGTTTGGGTTGTAGGACTGGACTTGAACAAAACCTGCTTTTGTGCTCAGAAATGTGAACGTGGATGACCTTTTTCTGGACAAATGTCACCCTGGGGTCTTTTGCTACAGGACATCCTCAGAAATAATCATGCTCCGTGAGAGGCTTCTGGCAGGTCGGGAGCACTGAGAGTATCCCTTTCATTTGCATACTGCACTCTTACCCTTACTCGAGTTCAGCAGAGAAGTTTTCCATTTTCTTTTCAGATCATTGAAATGCTCAGCCTGAAACCAGTTGGACTTTATGCCCTTCAAGAGGTTGTGGCATTGTTATATTACAACTAACCACTCAGCTTACGGACGTGAAGCTACTTTTCCCTTTTTGCAAGTCCCCTGAACAAACTGGTTCTGGATCTGGGAAATACTACTGCCTTTTATATCACAGTCAAGACTCATGGTCTTCGTGAAGAATGGAGAAGTGCTGAATAATGAGCCATCTCTTTCGTTAGAGAATGTGAAATCAGGCTACGAGGTGCAGTACCCAGAGGGCAGTGATTTATGTGTTGGAAGTGACTGGGCTGACATTGTCTGGCAGCCATCAGTTTTGCTGTGAGTTAGATTGTCCTGTTCATGCTAGCATCAGATTTGAGAGCCTGCAAGAACTTTCTATGTGGCTGCTGTTGTTTGGACAAAGGATGCCTTCCTCTTTGTAGTAATGTGTCACCTCACTGAGGATAAAATTGGATCTTTAATGTGGGAATAAAAGAAATCAGCACAGGCTCGAGTCTTTACTGCAAGATGTTTCTCTGTTGTGCCCTCGGGTTACACACCCGCTTACTTGTCTACCTGGAAAGTATTATTGTCTTTTATTTGATAGATCAAATTGTCTTTTTAAAGGCAATTGTCTGAGGTGCTTGCAAATGCTGGGTTGCATGTAATTCCTGAAGATGAAAACATTGGCGATTCTACCAAATAACAAAAGCAGCTGAGGAGGGAGCAGGAAATAAAGCTGTTCAGAACTGTGCATAAAATACATTTTTTACTAATCTTGTTTAAAATTGTACCGTGAGACACAGAAATACATTATTCTAATATTATTTTTTTCCTTCCTTTCTAAAAGAGATAGCTAAACCCTTTTGCCACTTCTGGTCCTTGCTGCTATCCTGTTCATTCCCATATATTGTTTTGCTCTCCCTGGTGTTTTGGTGGAACTTTCTAACTTCATGTTGCCATTGATTTGCATTACTGTGTGACTGCTTTTCTGTTCAAGGAGAATTTAGGAAAGTATTAATTAAAATTGGTGCAAAGGCCAACCATCGAGAAAGTGCAGTCGTAATCTCCTTGTCAGCCCAGTGATTATCCTTTCAAACACAATTCATAATCTTTCCTTAACGAATTGTTTACCCACCCTGGTTGTTGTACTGATTGCCCATCTGAATTGACAAAGTACCATATGGGAAACTATATATTATATAGTGCTAAAGAGCATCAGAGAGGGAGCATGCTTTTTGATGATGTTGTGATGAAAAGAAAGAGCACTCTGTTCATGAGTTCAGGTAATTTTAAAACTGTAGTTATCATCTTTACATTGGTGGTAAAGCAAGGGTACTGCACGCTGATTGTGCAGTTAGCTTTGGCTGTGAAAGACTAAAACCTGGAATTCTAGACCCATTCTCCATCCACTGTTCTGCTTCTTCCTTTAGGATGCACATAATTATTCAGTAATACTATAGGTATTCAAGCATTTTCCACGCTTTTACATTGTATTCTTTACTGTACTCTTGCTTTTTCCTCCAAGTAGAACACTTTTTAAAATTCTGGCTTTTTCTGTTTTCCTGTTGTATTGACAAGCTGTATTTCTTGTACTCCTTCTCTTTTCCTATTCCAAGTCCACGCCAACGGCCAGTAATCAGAAGTTCCTATTGACAGTGACACTGGTATCAAAGCTGTGCCAGGTGGGCCTGGAAAATTAGGGCAGGAGCGAGCTGAGTGTGAACCTGCTCCTCAGCGATAGCTGCTTGGGTTGCGAAAGCCAAAACGAGCTGCAGAATTCCCAACATTCTTTGTGCCAAGAGCTATTTCTGCTCATCATGTGCTTTCAACGGCGGTGTGCTCGGCACAGGAGCCGTGCCGACAGCTGGGATAGCTCGGGACAGCCAGAAGTACTGACCTCTCTGTTCAAGGGGTTGCATCATTATCTGGAACGAAATTTCCTTTTCTGCCTGAAACTGGTAAGGATGCTTGTAAGAATTTTTTTCATATTTAGGCTGTAGAAGGGGGAGACCCCAGGGAAACAATCAGCATCTGTTAAGTAATCCAGCTCATCTCTTGTGCTAACGTGACGTCATCCGTGATTTTGCGGTTGCTAGGCTACTCCAGCTGCTCTGGACTTGCACAGCAAAGCCTCCTCCACTTGAAAGGGGGATGCATGTAAAATACAGTGGCATAGGTTGTGATTGATGTGCTCTTGCTTTCTGAATGCTTCTAAGTGTCATTGCTCCCCCCTCTTTTTAGCATAGAAGTGGTTTTCAGAATCCTTGCAAATAAAATTCTCCTTTTTGTAGAGGCTGGTAGTTCTGCATTTAAAAAAAAAAAAATCAACATGAATCAACATGGCAACTTGTTAATTCAGAGCTGGATCTTAGCGCTATATATCGTTTATGTTTTGATCAAGGAAAAAACAGTTTGTGGAGATGAAAAGGGAGATGACTGCAGGGCTTCTCAGTGTTGGCAAGAGAGCACATCAGAGCAGTTTTTGATGTAGCTCTATAAGATGGGGGGTCCTACATATGAAAAACAAACTACTGCTTGGTCCTTAATATTTCCTCCTCTGAGTATGCATAACAAATAAATTGTGAAATGTATAAAAATAAATGTAGTTGCATTTCATAAGAATGGATTTAGTTTTTAAGGATATTAGCAAGAGGAATTTACAACCTCCCCTGTTTTTTTGGCCACTCTTCATTCTATATTGCAACTACAGAGCAAATTAGATGACTGAGAAATAGAATTCATATAACTGTAACAGATGAGGAGTTTTTATTAGTCCTCTTTTTTATCTTGTGTGCAGGTGCATAGGCAGAAGTCGCTTGGGGCACAGAGCCGAAATCTGCTTCTTGATATGCTTCAAGTAAAAGACTGGAAAATTTTTGCATGCTGATGCTTCATCCAAGTTGAATTTGAACTTTCCAAACCTTATTAAGAGAATTCTGTACAGCTGATGAGTTACCTGGGTGGGACAGGCAGTCATTGTTACTTGTGGCATTTCCTACTTTGTTATCTAATCCTTTAATAGAAGCTTTGAAGAATAACTTAATAAGCAAAATTATCTCAAGCAAACCGAATTCATTAATGAAGTTCAGAATGGTCGTTGTGAGTCATCTGCGGCACTTAAACACTTCAGATCATTTGAGTGGAGGAAATAACTCTCAGAAATTACATAGACAGTGACTGGAGGATTCATCATGTTTTCTAGTCAGCTAGGTAAATGTTGGCAGAGGATCTACAGGTGAAAGAAAGCATTTACTTTTACCTGACTTTCTTGGGGATCAAATTTCTACCAGAAATTAAAAATATTGCACGCAGCCCTTCGGGATTGTTTTCCAGTTTTTGTCTACACTAAAGATACTGATTTAAACCACTGCTTTGACACTACTGTACAATGTATTTTTATTTCCATGTTGTCCTGAAGACATTTCTCCTTAAGTGCCTGTTAGACCATGCTCTATAGTTGGGAAGTCCAGAGACCTGATTTTTTTCTGAATATCTCAAGATATTCTGTTCTTTTTGGAGAATGAAAGCTTAGCACTGTTCTTTACAAGCCTTTATCAGACATGGATCTCAAACCTTTCGGGTCTTTCTGCTATAAGTGCCCACTTGAAAGGCCACACAAGTTTGTAAAGACTTGGAGGTGGTTATAGGAAGACAATAAGATCTTTCTGTGCTTAGGGGACATGGGGTTTGATGGTAATTATACACAGTTGATAGCTTCAATTGGAAAAAAAAAATCCGATAACTGAGCAAGTCCATGCGCTGAATTCTGCTGGGAAAGATCTCTTCAGGCTAGGGATAAAAGCATTACTTAGCCAAGCAGTATCTGTTCCCTGGGCAAAGGGAAGCCTTCAGTTTGAAAGAAAATATTGCACTTCCATGGAGAATGGAATGTTTTCAAGACATGTTAGTTTATAAGGGATGTTTAAGTGATTTTGGGGGAGCGGGGGGGCAAAAACCTTTCAGCTTTTCTATTGAAACAATTTTTACTCTTAAAAGCAAAGAGTAATGAATATCTAGATGTAAAGGTAAAGTTAAGAATATCCCTTTAAAAGGACAGTGTGATGCATAGGGCTGTACAAGCTTTATTGAACAGTTGAGTTCCTCGTACTTCAGAGGAGCTCACTAAGTCTCATAAGCAGTGCCAGAGTTTACAGGGCAATGAAACCAGAAGAAAAATCATTTCTGCATTCCAGTGGTGACAATCCTATGATTTTTTTTTTTTTAAGTCTTGCTTCTTAGAAATATGTGAAAGCAAAGAATTCTTGGTTTTCTTCAAAAACAAGCTGATTTCACTTGCAAAGGAATGTTTTAAGTCCACAATTGAAATGTTTAGACTATTTCAGGTTCCAGTCCCAGAAAAATAAGAACACACAGCTTTCTTTTCTTTCTGTCCTCTTTTTTCTTTCCTGTTCATTTTATGGATGTGTAGAATGACAGTTTGGGTACTGCATCTATCCACTGTTCTTAAAAAGAAGTAATTGTGGCACACGTTTTCCTGTATCCGTTGTTACTACAGGTGCTGAGGATGTTGTGATGGCGTTTTCCAGATCAGAGACAGAAGACAGAAGACAGTAACTACAGGATACCTGAACAACACAGATCTGGAGAGGACAGTGAGATGCCTGAAGATAGAGGAGGATGGCTGAGCATTACTAAGTTCCTTTGCCCACCCTAATTGTTCCTTGGTATTCCTTCTCCTTTGTAATTTTGCTTCCCTTTGCCCAACCCTCAGAATGCATCTTGCAGCCATCTATTCCTGTAAGTCGTTGTTTCTCAGCGGGGCTGTGTTAATTAAGGACAAACCTAAAGGTGTAGCTTTGATTGGCTCGAAGGGACAGGCTAAAGGAAGACAATTTTTCAAACTTGACCAATGAAAACCTTTTCTCTCGCATTTTATTTTATATTTTAAAGAAAGTCTCTTGACATCCTGCTTCTAAAGAAACTTTTCATGCTGTGGTGCTTATTTAGGTCAAACTTGTGAATTTGAAGAGGGTTTGATTTGGCCACGTAGAACTGGAAGCAACTTGTGATTGGTTGCCAATGCAAATGCTTTCTCTTCAGTTGGCTTGCAGGTATTTTGCTGACTTCAGCATTTTCATTGCAGAAAGCCGATGTTTTGGTGCATTGGTTATTTCTTTATATTTACTGATTTGGGGGAAAAAGAGAAATGTGCTTTGCAGTATTTATTACGTCTGCACACATATAAACGCTTGCTTTTGGGGGTTTGTTTTGGTTTTTTGATTGGCTTTGAGGTCATGGTTTTGATTTCCTGTTGGCTGCAGTGCTTCTGATGCAATCAGTTTTTCCACACTCATCTGCTCGGTGGCCTCGAGCTCTTTTGGGAGCGTGTGTCAAAAGCATATTTAGTTCAGTAAGTCTACCTGTTCAAGCTGGCACGTGGAGCCCACCGGGCATTCCGTGCTGCTGCGTGGGCTGTGCTAGGAGCTCCTGGCACACCTGGCTGCTCAGGTGGCTTCTCCCTTTGCTTCTGACAGAGGAGCTGTAGATATTTTGCAGGAATTGCAAGAATGAGATCTATGGCTGTGACATGAATTTGCCAAATTTGTATAGAGAATATGTGACCTTGTTTAAAATACTACATATAGTTCCACTTTAACCCTTTGATTGCTGCACAAGTCTAGCTCTCACGTGAGGAAAAATTAATGATTATTAACTTAAATCCAACTTGCTCTGGGCTTTAATAAACTAAGTTTCTAGTCACTTGAAAAATTGCATGTGGTTTGGCTCCTTGCAACTCTTTGGTGATATGGAAATTATCTGGATCTGAAGATAATCCCATTTTCTTTAGGCACTGTTCCAAGAGGCAGTAACGTTGCATTACGCTGCCCGATAGCGAGTGTACAGGTGACGCTCTCAGGTTTGCTCTGTTAGTGTTTTAGGGCCCTGCAGCTGCACACACACACGTTTACGAACTGAAAAGCCTGCAGTGAAATTCCTGAAGTGCACTGACTGTTCAGGAATCTGCACGTGAAATTTCTAGCACTGCTGCCTAAAACCGAACACTTCGTTTTCTCTCACATGTGCAGGTCGTTTTTACAATACTTCTAGATTTTCCTGTGGGTTGCACTGACTTTAAGATGTTTCAAAATCTATTAAAGCAGAACTCCATTCACCTGTTCCTGATTCCTTTCATAAGGTTGTTAATTATTTGAAGTAACAATTCCAGAATCTGACTGTGACAACACGACCATTTTCATGGCAAGAAATTATGATGACGGGATGCTGTTATGGTCTCAGAATGTGGAAGAAGCTGGAGAGAAACCATGGGATGTATGCATAAGGAAGAATGGACTTGTGAGCACAAGGAGGGAAGTTATCTTGAGCAGATAAATATTGTGTAATCAGAACAACTGTACATCTGTTTGAAGAAGATCCTTTTGATTCAGTTGCAGCTTTGTGAAGTTCCGTGTGAAAGTAAATCTTTTACCCGTTTGTTGGGGCTGGATAAGAAATTTCTTTATTAAAATAAACCAGGCATAAGCCCAAAAGTTTCTTTAAATTTTTACCTGCTTGCCTAGGAGGCACTTTAACTTTGGTGCAAAGTGGGGCAGCCCTTGAAGGGTTAATGTAAAGGGATACTGTGTTTCTGGCTGCTGGCTGGAATGAATGGGCTGGATTGTGGTGGCCTGTCATTGTCAAGCTAAGGTGCATCCTCGGTGTGTATCTATGGCATTTCTGAGCTCTTCAATCTTTTCAAGGAGAAGAGTGAAGTGTTTATGTGGTTTAATCTTTTCACTGAGTATGTAACTGTTGGGGGGAAGAAAAATACAGTTTTTAATAGCTACTCTTGTTTCTTATTGATTTATTATACTGTTAAACCGCCAAACGGAAAATACTTGCCTCACCTGTGTGGAAGACTTCCATGTAGACTCCAGACTTGGAGTCTTGAGTCGTATGTTGAGAAGGATATATTGAGAAATGGCACTGTGTTGTGTAACAACATGATTTGGGATTCAGGAACTGGAGGAGATGCAGTCTCTTGAGAATATTTGTGCTTGATTTGTTACCTGTGTGCTCTCCCCCTCCCCACGGGTGGTTTCTTACATTTAAACCAGGGCTAAAAGATTTATAATAATGAATACATATATAAATCAGGGAGAAAGTAGTGGAAACGAGGGGTTTCCAATATTCCCTTTGAATTATGTTTCTAAGTATTTATCTTCTTGCTACGAAAACTAAATCCCCATTACCCTAGTGGAGCCTGGGTTAATTGGGAGGTAGAGAAACCTGCACAGACTACATCAGCATGGTTGACTTGTTTCTTTTATGTACACGTTTCTCTAGCTTTACCTTTGTGCTTTTGCCTTCTCAAGCAAACTATTACTGCTAAAAATAAGAAATCCAATGTTTTAGAGGTCAGAGGTGAGTATAGATCTAAACTGAAATACATTTGTAAACAGAAAAGGGTGTATAGTTCAACTACCAACCAGACAGTGCTTAAGGCATTTAGTAAATAAGCGTAAAAACTTTAGAGGCATCTTTCAAAAAAGCACGTGTCCTTTGGATGGTCTTTTGGGGATGTGTGTTCCTTTAGGTACTCAAAATGTGCTCTTGTACTATTTCTGTTACCAAGCTTACCTTCTTCCTCTCCTAACACACTGTTTTCCAGAGCTTGAGGAAAAGATTGAGCTGAGTCAGATACTCCTCTCACCTCTCTCCAGATGTGCAGCAATTGCTGTAATTGTTGGTGGGTCATTGTGTCTGTGAGCATTGCCCATTGTAAATGAAAGAGAGACTCCACCATTCAGATAGACCTTTAGATTGGTTCTCCCAGGTCCTAAAATAAACCCTGGAGTAAGAGAACATGTGAGCTGGTGGCACAGCAACGCTTTGGAAGGAGCTATTGCCTGAAAGTAGCTGGACCACTAATAAAATAAAAAACTCTTCAGATTTTTTTGTTCCCGTTTCTGTTTAAGGTAAGTAGTTACTATAAGTCGTTTCCTTCTCTTGGCTGTTCAGTGGTCTGTGTGAAAGTTTCTAGTGCTTTATTATTAAATCAGTTTCAGTTCCATAAGGTCTGTATTTCTAATTCACCACCAGCCTGAACAGTTCTGGTGAAGGCTAAAGATTAAATGGCCCATGAAATTCTAAGACCTCTGTCACCTATAGAAGGAGACCATCCTAAATAAGACTCCAGGGTCATATGTGGGATAAATTTCTATGGCTGTTGGGAATCTGTTACAAGATCAGAGCAGTGCCCTGTCTAAAGTTATTTTTGTAATGCAAGAGGGGAAAAAAAAACTCCCAAAGTTGAAGGTTTTGAATCAAATATATATAATGTGTTAGAAAGGGCAATGTATGATTTGGATTCCTTCAGCTTTCTTTTTGGTTTGTTGCCTCCTAAAGGACTGTGTGGCAGAGCTGACAGCAAAAAAGGCTGCAGGGCACTGAGACCAGCAGAAACCAACAGCGCAGTAAGAACAATTTCTGGAGGTTTAAGAAATCTTCTACAAAAGAGAGTCCTTAGTGAGTAAGCATCTCTTCCTCGCTGTTGTTCATCAGTAACAAAGTGTTCCGGAGCTTAGTTGTTAATACAGAGCTTTAAAGAAGGTTTGTTAAAACTGCAAAATAGCTGCTTTAGGTGTAAGAGGAACAGAAGCACTGAAGTGTTGCACAGTTGCTGCCTTGGTGGGGTCCTTGCTGAATGCAGTTAACTTTTAAATCAGCAACATGGTATAATCAACCCTCAGCATCAACCTGTTCAGCACTTGGATGAAACTGGACCTATTTAGTACTCAGCACTGCAGTCAGAGGTGTGTGGTGTATGCAGGGAAAATCCTTCCCTGTTCCCAGCATCAACAGGAAGTAATTTTTTTGTTATTATTTCTTTTAGATGAAATATTTTCATTTGTTTTATTTCACCTTCTGCTGCAGAGTAGTGCTAAGGATCCTGTCAGTTAGGCCTGGATGAATTATTTCAGTAAACTTAGACGATAAGAACGGCCTTGCACAAAACTAGCTTTTAAAGGTGTTAAAATGTGACAAATTTTGGTAATTATGAGCCAGGCATAGTGCTGATGGGGGTTTACTAGACAGACATTTTTCTTGCAGGCTCAGGTGTAGCATGATCAGTTTGCTACAGTGCTTGCATCCTGCAAATTGTGTGTCCTGTGTCCCTGTGACTTCTTCGGAGCTGCAGTGGGCAGGTCCCTGGATTGCTGGGGTTCTTCCAGATCTGCCTTAGACTTGCTGCCTAAATACAGCAAGTCTCTACAGACACTTTGCACTGCAGTTTCCCTTAAACTTCCTTGTACTGATGCTTGTCACGGTTTTACAGATACGAAAGTGCTGTATGACAGGGAGGAGCATTGTTATTACTTACCAAGGTAAGAAAGGAGCTTGGATCTATTCCCTGTCAGACTGTAGTAGGTTCCTATACAAAGGCAGAAAAGAAATCACCTACTGTCTTCTGAGCTCTGCTTTGATTTTCTTTGCAGCTGATTTGCCCTAAGCAGAATTCCTGCAGTATGTTATAAACAACCTGGCTAGTTTTCTTTGTAGCCTGAAGCACTTCAATTTTGGGGATTGTTTATTTTGGAAAAGAGAAAAAAAATTTTTGAAGCTTTATAACCTGGCCTGCATACAAGCTGCCTCATGTATCAGCATGAAATAGTTCTATGCACAGAGCTTTTTGCTGTCTTGACATTTTCCAGGTTAACTCTCCTTGCTGCTAAATGCTGGTCTGTGAAACTCAGAAAATAAGTGTTCAGCCTTTGTTCAACATTTACAATACTAACTCCAAACCAGATGTGGACTGATGCATCTATACTTAAGTTTTTCACCTTAGATTATTATTGCTGCCCTTTTCTGATGCCATTACTGATAGAGCAATCCCTATGGAGCCAGCAAATGATCCTGTCTGTACCCTTGATGGGAGCAGCTGGACACTTACTCAGTGCATAGCAAGCACGCTCTCCCCACGTGTTGTGCATGTCATTGCTACACAACATCTGAGCTCTTTGGAGCTCCCCAGAAAAAAAAGGCCCTTTTACCCACTCTGTGAGTAACACAAGTGGTTAATAACTTTTTTCCCCAAGGTTGTACAATACTTCCAATTAACCTTGTTACTTTAAGTTGGTTGAGCTGAATCCTGAGGTTACATCTGAATTCTGAGTTGAGACTCTTGTAATATTAGAGACACATTTAGCTAGATTTATGTTTGAATAGGTATTTAATAGTGGTCTTTGCTTAACTGTTAGGATTTTAGCCCCAAGTGAAGAGTTGCGTCCTTGCACTGTACACCAGTTTTGTACAGCTAATTTCAAAAGACACAAATCATAATTAAGTTATTCAAGCATGCAGTTTGCTGTTTACACTGCAGTCCACATAAAACACATTCCCATTTTGCAGTGAGGTGAAAGTAATTTTATTACTCTTCTCAGATATGACCGTGACTCAGTACTCTCCTGATGCTTGCAATATTCCAACTGATGGAGGAAACAAGGATGATTTGTTCTCAAAATATCTTGCCCCAAATGAGGGGAATTTTGTGAGATGAGCATGGATAATACAAGTTCACATCAAGGTTTTATGTAGAGATACACCAGAATGAGAATGGCTCCAAAATCTTGCTCTCAAGCTGTTCTCCCTGTGGGGTTTTGTTTTAAGCTGCCACAAGAGCTCAAGAATTGCTTTTCTTTCCTGCCTTTGGTCTGTTCCTTCCGAGAAGCTAAATGCATAATCGTGGTCCAAGACTGCAGAGCAACTTG